TTAACGTTGGTATGTTGATGTGCATAATTAACCACAGTGTTTTTGTTGTCAAGTAATTGTTAAGATGTGAAAAATTTAAATGTTTTGAATATACCACTTCAGAGTATTACTCTTGCCACAATCTGTATTAGAGGGGAGAAATGATACGGGTGGACACAGGGGTGGCCAATGATTGGCTAAAGATGGCCGTGGCCACCCCTAGCCCCCCATCTAGCTCCGCCCCTGTGTACAGCAGGGGTCTTTAATGTTTTCCAGACCAAGGACCCCCAAACTGATGGCAAGATGGAGCGGGGACCATAGATATCCATAATAATTTATTTATTTATTTATTTATTATGGATATCTATGGCGGGGACCCCCTAATTATATATTTTGTATGAAATTGTGTTATATGACCTGGTCCTATAGTCACTCTATTACAGATGGATTAATGTAACTAAAGTAATTTCTCCCTGGGATTATAAAGTATTTCTGATTCTGATTCCTGGTTGATGGGACAGGTGTTGTGAATGAAACGGTGTCCAGCTTAAAGAGCTCCTGTGTGTCTCTGAATGTGAGCATTGATGACTGAAAGACATCTTCTGCCTCCATTTATCTGTTTACTACAGTCTGTTGAATTCATGTTAATGTGCATTTAAGACATTTCAATTAGTGGAAAAAGTTGCAGGGGGGGATTTAAAAAAAAGTTTAATCAACCAAAACTTTCACGACCCCCATTCAGTACCTCCGTGGACCCTCTAGGGGTCGCGGACCCCCTGTTGAAGACCTTTGCTGTACTGGGTATTCTGGCTGAAGAAGTACCAGCAAACCATCTATGAAAAGTTGATGCTACTAAAACTTTTTGTACCAACATGTTAAAATGTTAATTTTTGGTTCCCACAGATCCAAACATGCAGCCTTTATTAACAGTAAAGAACTACAAAGATGGAGTCTATAAACGGGCATTCAGATTCAGGAAAACCATGCAAACCTGGAGTCAAGGAGGAAAGATGAATCTTTCTAATGGCAATAACTTGGTTTTGAGAAAGGTGACTGTGTGCATTCTTAGTCATAATTTAGAAAATGTACCAACGAATTAAACTGTTTGATACATGGATTTCATAGATAACTGAACTCTCTACTTAATGTTTAAAAAAGGAATGATGTTCAACTCAAAAAGCTTTTCTCTCGAATGAAAATGAATGAAAATAACCAGTTCAATACATAAAATTGTTCAGTTTCATTTTTTTAATCAAAACTTGTCTGTAAACATGTATATCTATATAGCTTGTTTGAAATAAATCTCAGTAACACATTTAATAGATAAATAAAATTGTTTTTCATGTGATCAAATTGCAGAGCCCCTCTGTGGACTGTGTTAAATGGTTTATTTTAGCTTTAAAAGTCTTTACAAGTTTAAACCAAAGGGTCTGGACTCCACTTGAGATATGGAAATCTGGACTCTGTCCCATCAAGGAGGTTTGACATAAATTCTTTACCATCAATAAACCACTTCATGTTGTCATTGCATGAGTTAAGTCATAAATCCTAAATATTGGCTTTTTGGGTGCTTTCTTTTCGAGCAAGCAGAAGAAAATTGCACCCTGTCGTTGAACTTTAGTTAATGCACTAAAGGCTTGCCATACCCTTAACCTGTACTTGGACTGTCTTTGATCTCCATGCTGCATTCATGTCAGCTCGTACACTGCATTATCCAGATCAATATCACCCCAAAATAATAAAATATTTGTTATTTATGGCAATAATTATCAAGGACGCAGAAAATTATGTCTTGGTGTTGTGTCAATTTTTGTAAAATAATATCTTTATTAAGTGGTCTAAGTTGCACAGGCTGGTTTCAGTAATTTCTTTATTTTTTGCTTGTTTATTTTCTGTTTCTCTTTTTTAAAACCTTGATATGTTAGTAAAAATCACTGACCTACTCTTGTAATTTAATTTCATACTGTAAACACTGCATTTTTTTTTTGTCCACAAACTTCTTACTTTCTTTGAAGTTAACAATTTTTTTTTATTAATTACTTAGATGATCATAAAAATTTAGAAACCACACTTTGAAAATGTACAGATTTTTTTTTATATATATCTTATCTTAATCTGGATAATATTTTTCCTACCAAGGCCAATCGATATTAGTAATATGAGAGATCATGCCCACAGGTTAAACCAATGTAACTACAATCTAACATTTTCTTGTAAATGTTATTTATCAAACTCAAATAGACACATATGTTATTATTCAGTATGAGTGAAAAATAAAATGCTCTGTTGGTTGTCAAAGCAGGTATGAAATGTTGGCTGATCCAGAAAGTTGCAGAGTGGATATTAAACATCCCGTGGTGGATGGGTCCGTTTCAAACCAGAACACATTTTTGTTTGCAGAAGGAGCAAAACAGCAAACATCTTATTAAACACCTCTTTCTTAAAAGTTTAAAATCAAATAGGCACAAATAGCCAAACTAAAGTTCTAACACCCTGACAGCCTTTTAGATGACAGCCTGAAAATATAGCAGGAGCTGCAATGGAATGGATTTCCTTACATTTATGTGTGAGAACGGTCTAGTCAAAGTACAGACCTAAATCTAAGCAATCGGGAGCCAATTTTTGAGAAAGGGGGAACAAAAACAGATATAAAGCTGCTATTCACAGCAGACAAAACAAAACCCCAGGACCCGTGAGGTCACAGCAGGTATTTTGGTTTATTTTATTAAAAGTTTACATTTCACAGTGAGATTTTGAAATAATGTCGAAAATGTAGAATTTGCAACTAACCCTGATCTGGGTTGTTGCTCCATTCTGATTTGACATGACAGACACTGATGTGGACATCAGCTTCCTGGCTGCAACTTCACCCAGTTGCTTCCTGTCAGTCTTCAGATTGCTGTCTAAGGGTTTTATTTTTCTGTTGAAACTAATTTACTGGCAAGGTGTCGTCAGCTTTTAAACACGCTGTGGTCCAACCAGTTCTTCTGTGCGGTATGAATCAGCTCTCTGAAATTGTTTGGCATATTTTCAAAAAAACCTTCTTTCTAAACATTTCCAAGAAGGTGGTTTTAGGTCTTGTAGTAGTGAAACTGCACTTATGAGTTCAAACATTGATTTTACATGCTTGATCATGACTAATGTCAGAGTCTTAAAGGTATAGTGGAGGATGTTCTTTTCCAGGTGGATCATCAAATCAAGTGGTCCTCCTAACTGTCAATCATTTTGGTGATATGTTTACGTTAGGTCGTCCTA